AGGATAATGTAAACAGGGCTTTCAGAGTTGCAATGAGTTTATTTTAGGTGGGTGAATGATCTGATCATCTGACTGTTGATTGCAGTAATTCACATTATTAGCAGAAATAGAAGGCCCCAAACCAAATTTCGCTTAGGGCCCCATGGAGGCTCGGACCAGCCCTGTGTGAAGCCTTTATTTTGTATTCATGTGATCATCTCCATTAGGGAAACTGAACGTCCAAGACGAGGAGCTGGAAGCCATGTTGAATGAAGGGAAGGGTCCCATCAACTTTACTGTGTTTCTGACACTTTTTGGGGAAAAACTCAACGGTAAGACTTTCTAGATGAACAAATCTTTTTTTTTAAATGAGGAACACTCAGATGATTCTGAAGGATGTATTGATTTCTTATCCTCCAGGCACTGATCCTGAAGACACCATACTGGCTGCTTTTAAACCTTTTGACCCTAACGGGACAGGTTTCGTCAACAAGGATGAGTAAGATATCTTGGTGATAGTTTCCACAACACCAATTACATCACTACTCAAATTATTATCATTTTTTGACACCTCTTATCTTTTTTTAATCCAGATTTAAACGACTACTGATGAACCAGGCTGATAAATTCACAGCAGAAGAGGTTTGTTTTTTTATACTTTAATGCAGAGCGAGTTAATGTATATGCATTTGAGCAATAAAATGTTCCCTTTATGAACCTGTAGGTCGATCAGGCCTTCACTCTTGCACCGATTGACCCAGCTGGCAACATCGACTACAAGCAGCTCTGCTACATCATAACACACGGAGACGAGAAGGAAGAATCTTAAAATAAATAAATAAATAAAGCGTTTGAAATTATCAGCTTTGGATTCAAAAACTTTAGTCATAATTTTTTTTAAAAGATGAAATTTCTGATATGCTCAAAGATTTCTGTTGATTTTGAAATCATGAAGATTCATTGTTAATGTGAATAAAGTGGTGGACTCATGACAGGTGTGCAGGTCTCATACTTAATGATGCACATTTAAACTAACATAATAATGACATGATGATGATGGTGCATCATAAACTG